AGACAGACAGACAGACAGACAGATAGACAGACAGACAGAAACAGAGAGAGTGTGTGTCTTAGGCCCACAGGGCCAGAGGAAGCCATTAATGTTTCTGGAAGGTTCTCCCCAGCAGGCTGCTGCGTACTGAGAAGTGGCATACTCTGAGGGTAAGAAAGTGGCCTTTCAACCCATAATGCTCCGTAGCCAGTCCTGGGTCGGCCCCTCAGGGCTATTTCACCTGGGGCTGACTGGCACCTGATCTTCCCCAGAACCTTATGAAAACAGGTGGTCACCACAGCCTGACAGCTGCCACATACACCCAGGAACCGTGTTGAGTCGGCCCCACCCTCACTGCCCCCAGGACAACACTGTTCTCGGCCCAAAGTGCTCTATGGGTCCCAAAGCTAATAGCATGCATGTGCATATACATATCTTTATATAGAGATAGATAAATGTATATGGGTATGTGTGTGTGTGTGTACACATTCATACAAACACACCCACTCTTCAGAGTCACCCAGATAAATACCCAAAGTCACACAGTGTCACTACAGGCATCAACACAGACCTCTCCCACAGACCCAGATACTGGTGGCCCCCACCCCCACAGACCCAACTCTTCTTTCCAGCCTTCCGATTTCCAAAAGACTGGATTCCTCAGCTCCAGGTGGTAGGACAGGGTGTCCAGCTTCATGCCCAGGGCTCCAGAAGTAAGGGGATCCAGGATGGAAGCCACCTGCTGGGCCAGGGCACTAGAAAGCCACATGCGATCACACTAGAAGCTCCAGGGCAAGCCATGCCAGCTCCCCCCAGGACAGGACCATTGTCCCATAACCTGAACAGGACCCTGGGCCCAGTTTAACACTACTTTCCCCCACTGCTGGGCCAAGAAAAAGGCAGAGGGGAGAGAAAAGAGAGGGAAGGACACCTGTCAGAGCCATCTTCCGAGTATCAGGGGGCTGCAGCAGAATGGTCCATAAAGCAACAGACACGGCATGCCCTCAGGATTTGAAGATGCCTTTGCCTGGAGCTGCTTAGGGCTGTGACATTGGAGAAGGCTGGGTGCATGGTCTCCTCCCTGTTACTCCTCCAGGCAGGAGTGAGCAGACAAAGGATGAAAGCCTAGCAGCCCGCATGTCACAGAGGCTGGGACACTACTGGCAGGGTCTAGACTAACAGGGGCATGATGGAGGACTAGCACACCTGTGGCAGGTTGTAGCACCATGCCACATAGACACAGCGGGTTTTGGGGACTGAGAATGTGGGTTCTGAACAGTGGAGGCACCATGCGGGCTCAGGCAAGATGAGGCCAAGGGTCCCAGCACGAGAGGAGTGAGGCAAGGATGGGGCCACCTCTTCCTGTCTGACATGTGGTGGTCCCAGGGAAAAACACAGTTCTGAGTCTTGGCCCTGAAGTGCAAACCATCCCACCTGGGGTGACTAAGAATAAGTGATTGGGCACCTCACTGGAAAGACCAACATCTCCACCGGGCACTCTGAAAGTTCCTCTAATTACTTCCGACCTTGTGCCCAGCAGACAAAGCCAAATAAAAGCATCAGGTCTTCAGCCAAGCGGAAATGGGGTGGGGATGGGGCTAAGGGAGGAGAAAGGGAAAGCAGGAGAGGGAGGAGGATGAGGAAGAAAGGAAGGAAAAGAAGAGCCGCCTTATAGGAGAGTAGGGAAGGCAGGAGAGAAAGGAAGGTGAGGAAGGTTTGGGCAGAATCTCATGGGCAGAAAGGATCAGAGGGAAGCTGGAAGCTGAAGCAAGGGTCCACAGCCACAAGGAAGGAGAATCAGAGGAACCCACCAGAGACAGAAGCGGATCGGAGCCGGTGGAGAGGAGAGGGTTGAAAGGTGCCACTCTGCCTCAGGCCCTGCAGTCTGGCATTGTACGCTGTCCACCCACACCCCAGGGGAGCCGGCAGGAAGGGGAGGCACCAGGCATAGTAAGCACCCCACCAATGCCACGGGGGACAGGGGGACACAGAACACATGGAGAATGCAGGGGGCGAGGCATTAAACAACATGAAACAGAACAAAAACAAAGAAAAAAAATCAGGGTTAGTCATTGTTCTGACTCCAGGATAGGGCTACACATTGGAGGGGAGTGGGGAGGGAGGGAGATGGAAAGACAGGGTGGTCCAGGATCTCTGCTCCTCGGAAGGGCAGGTGGTTTTCCTTCCTAAGTCCAGTAGCAGCCTGGAACCTAGAGTCATCGGTCCCTGTTAGCCAGCACTTCACCGTGAAAGTCATCCTAGGCCATCCAAGAACCTCCCTTTCTCTCTAGGTCACCCATTCCCTTCTGAATCTGAGACCTAAGGTCGCGCCCCTGGCATTCCTTAGCCCCGTGGTAATTCAATCACATTATCCTCTCCCCCTGGAGCCCCTCATTCTTTTAGTTGTTGCCCAAAGCCGCTGGGTACCATGAGTAGAGGCCTTGGGATAAACCTCCAGAGCGCTGTAGAAGGCCTTGCTGTATTTCTCTGTCCTCACCTTGCTGATTAGCAAGCTACCTTTATATCTCAGGGCCTGCGCCAGAGGTTGGTACTTCCCGTGGACTGCTTATCTGGCCAGCACGTGCTTCATTGCTCCCAGCCTTGTTAAACTCAACCCTCTCCCCTTAGTTAGAATCTGTTAGTGGCTGTTAGAATCCTGACCCTCACAGAAGCCTCCTGAGCATCTTACACTGAACTCCCTCTCAGTCAGCCCCTCCCAAGCTCTCATGGCATCCAGGAACACCTCTGCTACTCAGTCTTTGCGACAAGGACCCGTCTTTGTCCTTTTCTTTTCCTCTTACTCTCCACATCTAGCTGATCTGGAAATCCTCCTGGCCAAATGTTCTAAATAGTCAGCCATTTTCCTCCATCTCCGCACTTCCATGCCGATCGATAACGCAGCATCAGCCTCCGAAAGGACCTCCCTCCTCCCATCTCGGCCATCCAGATACTCTGGGAAGCCAGGTGATGTCACCATTTGGACCAAATCCTTTCGAAGGCTTCTCAGAACACAAACACCAAAACTCTAAGTTCTTCGGATCACCTGCCAGCCCAAATTCAAGCTGGCTCCGTTCCCATTACCTCTTAGAGCTCGTGTGGGTCACTGTGCTCCAGCCACGCCAAGCACGCTCCTGCCTCAGGCGCTTCGCACACAGACTGCTCCCCATAACGTGGTCCCTCCCTGCCTAGGGACGGCTTTCCTGACCATGCCAAGCACCCATTCATCTTCCACTTCCCCCTGGCACATCTCTGCTTTACTTCTAAAGCATTTAACCTTCCACTTAAAATATTATAAAAGTTTAGTGGCCAATTCTGTCATAAGAGTAAAGGCTTTATTAGTCGTCGACATTTTCCCAGATCCTGGACTACCAAACAGCCCAGATTAATGCTCGTGTTGAATGATAAACTTAATGGGCCTTGACCTCAATCCTGTATGCAGAATGAACTATCAAACCTGTTTCTGAGTCCAAACCCTGAAGCTTAATGCCAGGATTTCACTTTATTTTTCTCCAGCCTCCTCACTTTTGTGAAGAAGTATCTGAGCTCTTAGATGAGCCTGAATGGTCACCAGGTTCCCGGGCTCCTTTTCTGCCCATCACTTTCTTTCCCTCCTCTCTCTTCCTTCTCCTCCTTCCACCTTCGGTCCCTCTCATCTCTACCTAAAATCACGCCCATGGCGCTCACCATTCCAGTTTCCAATGTTCCCCACCTCAACAACCATGCTGCCCCCTTTATCCTAAACCACTCCAGAGAGAAGCTGGCAAGCTGTCCTCACTCCTCTTCCACGTCCTCCACAGTCGCTCAGTGTCTGGCTTCTGTCACCAGCACTCAACTGAAAATATGCCTTTGAAAATCTCCAGTCTACCTCATTGGCCAGCCGGACGGGTTTCTCCCCCAACCATCCCCACCCATGATTCCACCCTTTCTCCTTCGACTCCTTTCCCATCTCAACTCTGCATGGAGCACTGCACTGGGCTCCCGCCACCACCCTCAACACTCACGCTAAGACCCCGCTATGCCTTTGTCTCCCCTGTGGTCATTTTCCTGAGCTCTCTCTCTTCTCCGCGCCTATACCACAGACTCCCTCCAAGTTCACAGCATACATTAACCTCCACCTGTGAGAGAAGATTCTAGAATCCACAGGTTTTCCAATCATACACCTCTATACCTGGAGTGTCCCCATCGCGACAGCAGAGCCCTGCGTCCTCATCTCCTAACATGCCAGCCGCCTCACCCTCAACCTGTTAAGGGGGCTACACGCTTCTGTTCACAAAGCCTTCCTAATGCTGCGATCATTTAAAGCAGTCCCTCCCTCATGGTCCCCCAACCACAAAATTTCTTCATTGCTACTTCATAACTGTAATCTTGCTACTGTTATGAATTTTACTGTCAATACCTGATATGCAGGACATCTGATATTCAACCCCTGTGAAAGGGTTGTTCCACACCCAAAGGAGTCATGACCCACAGGCTGAGAGCCACTGCCTTAGACCATCTTGAACATCCCCCTCCCCACTGGTCCTTGTAAGTGCATGGTTCTGTCCCCTTAGTACCCATGGCATCACCTAGTCTCTTCCATGACTGAGGTCAGTACTCCAGTCCAGCGCTCCATCACTAGTGAGCACAGAGTATCTTCCAGGTCAAAGTTACTCCTGCTTCTCTGCCTTCCTGCTGGGACCCACCAGACATGCCTCCAGAAATACCACTCTACCCCTGCATTGTCCAGACTAAATCACTAATGATTTCTTATGTCACTCAGCACATCCAATCATCTCGGTCTGAAATTTAAGACCATCCTGCGACAGGGTGACAGCTGCCTTTTCTGCTCCAAAGCCACCCGCCATTCTGCAAACAAGCTGTATGCCCTCCTGAGAAGCCACTCTACCCAGGAACCTCGCTTTTTCAAAGCTGTATTCAACTACAACTGAATTGTACACGGCAGGCCACTAACCGCCACCTCCCAACATCTATAGACAGTAACGACTCCAATTCTCCCTCATGGGATTGCTTCCACCGCTCTTATTACAAATAACTGCATCCTAAGATTCTAGCTCTCTCCTGAGCCTGACTCCTTAGGGATAAGATGTGCATCTATCTTCTAGTAAGGACTGAAATCTCCACCTCTAGAAGCATCAGGTATAGATCCAACCAATCACAGAATCAGTAGCAGGAGATCCTCAGGCTCTTATTTCCTGTTCTCGTCTTACTGACCTGGCAGGAGCTTCCAACCCAATATTAGATGACCATGGTGACAGCAGATGTCTATCTTCATTTTGCTTGTACTATAGGTCTGTAGTCAAAAAACCTACATGCCACTACATTCTCAGAGCTTAACACTGAAACAAGACGGGGGGGGGGGGGTCCAAATGGAATGAATTAGGACACAGTACTGGGGCGCAGAGACCAGCCACGGAGGAAAACGAAAATCAGGAGAGTAAACGAGGGAAGGCACAAGGTCAAGGGAGCCTCTCCCTGAGATCTGAGCTTCTTAACGCTCCAGCTTCCTGCAACAGAATGGAAAATAAGCAGAGAGCAACAGCGCTGGAAGTTGCTCCTCCTGGCTCCCAGAATGCTCTATGCACTGGATCTTCCTGTGCCTTGCCCTGCATAAGCAATGAAGAGCCACAACAAGGATGCTAAGGATACTGTGAAAGCAGAGCCTTCCAGATCAGGAAATTCTGTTCCTGACAGGGCATGGGCCAAAGGGGGAACTTTATAGGCCTGGTGACCAGATACAACTGTCCCCTCTGCAGCTCATCTTATTTCCTGGCTGAGTTACTTGTAGTTGATGGAGACTGGTAACAAGGTAAGGGAACAAGAGACTTGGTGCCAACGATATTCTTATTCCTCCCCGTGACTCTGTGGCAGCCAACACCTGAGCGGCTACAGAATACAGAAGTTGACAGTGAAACCTTTGGAAGCTGGGAGGAGAGAGCCTGATTGGAGACCCACTCCAAGAAGACCCTCCTCCTAGACCATTAGCAAGCTATAGGGCAGGGTTCCAGAAGGGGAAGAAAATTTATCTTGCTCCATCCGTCTAGAAGTTCCTGGGATCAGCTCACCATTACACTGGGGTGTCACAGTCCTTCAGCACCCTGCCACCACTCAATAAAACATTGGGAGAACGAGACAGCAGAGGAACTTGGGGGGCCCTTCCTCTTTCCGAAGTAAAACTGATAGGGGACCGTTCCAGCCGATAGAGTGAGCAAGAGTGTGGCCACAGTCAGGTGCTCCATCTGGACCTCCACACTGTATTTTGCCAGAGTCACAGAGCTACAGGTCCGGGACCTTGAGGCTCAGGTAAAGCAGAGGCAGCAGTCTGGAAGGAGCAGCCCTCCTGGGAGCTGAGGCCCCAACACGAACATTTTGTTTTTGTTTTTTGTTTTTTGAGACAGGGTTTCTCTGTGTAACAGGCTGTCCTGGAGCTCCTCTGTAGACCAGACTATGCCTCCCAAGTGCTCAGATTAAAGGCATGTGCCACCACCACCTGGCCAACGGTCACTTCTTATGGTATAAATACTTCTACTATGGCCCACTACCAGCTGATAGAAATTAGAACCAAGGGTGGTGAGTCTCTGCTCTGAAGTTCAGGAGCAGAGTCTCCCCACCCCCATACCCAGCCTTGGGCCCAACCCGAGAGCCAATGGTCAGCTGGATGCTTCCCCAAACCTACATCCATCCTTTCCAGGGAGGGCGTCTCCTCCTGCCTTGCAGCTGGCATGGTGACTCAGCTGCCCCTAAATTTAGGGAAAGGAGCAGAGGGCAGAGCCAGCTGCCTGGCTTCCTCTTCTCCCCAAGATACCCCACCCTGTCAGCAGAGCGACTGGGCACAAGACTCATCACCTCATTACCACAGTCCCTGGGCCACACCTATCTGGGCTTCATCTCACAACTAGGGAAACCATTTTGTCAGGTGCAGGATTTCCCAGATGGGAAATCTTTGGCTGCCGAGGGAAGCATCGCAAACTGGGGCTGTGGGTTGTGGTATCCCATGCTTGTCCCTCCCAACAGTGTCCCTGGCCCTGGCTCTTTCTTGGCCTGTCCTCCCAGAAGATTCCTCTGTGATCTCTCTCTCTCTCTCTCTCTCTCTCTCTCTCTCTCTCTCTCTCTCTCTCTCTCTCTCCCTCTCTTGCCACCCACACAGAGTGGGTCTAAGCAAGAGCAGAACAGCTGAGCTAGGACGATCTTAGCCTCACAAAGACGAGACTCTTGAAGTCCCCATCAGGGTGAACATCAGACACCCACTGTTTGTTTCAGGGTACTCTCGCGAGCCTTCTGGGGTGAGCTCAGAATGAAATAACATCTAAATAGCATCTAAAATCCTCCTCTAGCCTTTTCCACCGTCCCGAGGCCCTGAACTGTGAGGACAGTGAACATTTTAGCAGCTGCAGAGTCTCCTCTCTGCTTAAAGCATCTATCCTCTAAGTCACTGCCTCCAGGAGGCCGTCCCTGATTGACTTAGTTGGTAAGCTTCATACTGGGACCTTGGTTCTGCTCTGTTTCTGCACAATTTATCCTCTGTTAGAACCATCTATGTACTTATTTCCTGATAAAACTGCAGACTCCCTGAGGGCAGGCATGGATAGATACTACCTTTGAGTTCCAATGCCTGGCTTTATAAATGATCTATACAGAAGGGATGGCTGTGGGAACATTCCCAAGACCTCCCCAGGCTAAAAAAAAAAAATACTGCCAAAGGCTCTAACCTATGCTGTGCCCACCTCTCCCCGAATAGACCACAGAGACCAAACAGGGGAGGGGATGGGGAAATGGGGAGAGGTTTTCCAGGTCTCATGTCTCCAAGGCTGTTTGTTACCTGCTACCCGGTGAGCTACCAGCCCTTCCAGGTTCAGTGGTTCTTCCTCTGGAGTTCGGGAGGGGTCTGAAGTAGTTTCCTTTGGTGGGAGTTGAGGCTGAGTGACGAGACCAGGGAGAGAGGTTGGGTGCTCTTGAGGCCCCGCAGAACTATGGGGGCTTGGAAGGAAGGCAGAAGAGGCTGGACTTTTTGGATGGAAACTCTGGTTGGATCCAGCTGGACGCAGCTGATAATCGTAAGGTGAATAAGACCTGCCAGAAGAGACCAGCTCCGGGGCTCCCAGGGAAGACCCGCTAGGGATATAGCCAGATCGGGACTGGGTCAGTGGGTGGGACTGGCGGGAAGAGCCCAAGAGGGGCTGGGAAGCAAGTGGGGAAGTCCCTGGCCAGGCCCCAGGGACACTCTGGGACTTATGAAGAGGGGCAGCCATTGAAGTCGGCTCCAAGTCCAGCATCAGCATATTAAGGGCTTCAATGGACTGCTCAATCTCCTGCTGGGAGGCTGCCCTCGGGAACTCTGGGAGAGTAGGTATAGGGGTTTCTGCTGACAGCTGGGGGCTAGGCTTGCTGCTGGCAAGACTCTGTAAGGGGGATCTCTCCTGCTGTCGGGGAGGTGGGTGAGGCTGCTGCTGTTGCCAAGAATTCAGGCCCCTCTGCACAGCCTCTCGGCTGCTGCCCCCACGGGCTGGAGCTTGGGGTAGCTGGGGCTCCACATCTGGAAAGGACTGGGATCGGAACAGACCACTGGGGTCATAGCCACAGTGGGCACTGGTCACTTGTGACCAGGCTGGGTGGGGTCCCTCACGTTGGTAGCCAGCTAATCCCTCCTGAGCTGAGTAGGAGGGCCGAATGGGGGCCGAGTGACTGCTGTGGGGTACCATCCGGTTGGCAGACTCATAGGGGTAGCCTCCACCATTGAGCATGGGTTCTGTGGAATAGGACTTGTCCAGACCATTGGTCAGTGGGGACAGAGTCTCTGGGTATCCACCTTCGCTGGTGTTGGTGACCCCATCCAGGGAGGACAGTGTGCCCATGCTGCCCCCACTCTGCCCATCCTGAACGGGCAGCTCATCATCCAGAATGTCCGTCTCCCGCTCAGATGCCAGAGCCCCACCGTTGACGTGAACCTGGGCTGGGACGATGTGGCGGCCAGGGGAGGACACAGTTGGGCCCCCAGCTGGGTGGGACCTGAGTTGCTGAGCCCGGTACATGGCACCTTGCTTCTCTCTATCTACACCAAAGCCGCTTAGCAGGCGATCGAGCTCCTTCTTCTCCTGAGGACTCAGAGAAGCAGGGGCAGTGGCAGCCCCAGAAACAGGCTCATCGGTCTTGTCTGTCTTGGTGGAGGCTGTGGAGTTGCCAGAGTCGCTGCTCACAGACAGTGTGTGTTCCACATGGTTGGGAGTGGCTGACAAGGCAGGCCGTGCAGTAGTGACAGGCCCTGAGCTGCCATTCAGGGAATCCTTCTTCTTCACTTTGGCATACAGACTCCCATCCAGTGGCCCTTGAGTGTGACCCACCACTTCTGCAAGGACGACAAAGGGGACAGCAGGCAACACATGTCAGCAAAAGGCAGTCACACTCATTAGTGATAGTCCCCCCCAAAAGAGCTAAAGGCTCCCTTCCACTGAGCCCCAAATCTCTCCTCGCTACCCTGAGAATGGCAAAGGGGAAATACGCCAGCCCCCTAACCAAGGCTTTGGGGAAGTGCCCTCAATGTTGCACTCAGCTTCAAGTGAGGTACAGCGTAAGACAGTGCGGACTGGCCCAGGCCAGTGTCCAGCTGTGGAACATCACAGCTTCCAACCCAGAGCAGCACAAGTTATTCCACGGGCCTCAGCAACGTCCTTTTTAATATGAGGGCAAGAGATGAGGGAGATGGCTCAATGGGGAAGGCACTTGCTGAACAAGAATGAGGAGCTGCGTTCAATCCTCAAGCACTCACATGAGAAAAAACAAAAATAAAAACATAGACAAAGAAATCCTTGGGTCAACCAGGTTAGACAAACTGAACCAACAAGTACAGGTACAATGAAAGACCTTTTTCAAATAGTAAGGTAGAAAAAGACTGGGGAGGAAGAGACACTCAGTCTTTACTCTGGCCTCTGTGTACACACACACACACACACACACACACACACACACAATAATAATAATAATAATAATAAAATAAAATGAAGACAGTAACTAAATCATGTTGAATCATAGAAGACAACCCCTATCCACTGAACTCAAGACCCTTCCAACCGAATGAGCCAACACCCTATAGCGGTATCACAATAAGACATCACCCACTGGGAGCCATGACTTCTGTTACCATGAACATCATTAATTCTGAAAGGGGACATCCTGAGTCTACTCAGCCCCTACAGTACCCACTTCAGGAAGCTTCTTCTGCTTTCCAGTCCTAGGAGTCCTGCCCTGGGTTAGAGGCAGCAGGGCCAGAAGAGGCATTACCTCAAACACAAGCACACAGAAGGTTTAAGTACGGAGACCTAAAGACAACCTTCAAGCAGGAGAGCCAAAGAGAGTCCCAGAGGATGGCAGGGGTATAAATACATACAATCATTCCCTTCATAGAGGGGATCTGGAGATTTCAGGGAGTGGAAGGGCACTGGGCAGGATCCACGCATGCTCAGTGCTGGACTGGGCAAAGAGGCCGGAGTCAAAGTTAAAGGCAAACCAGCCCTAGCCTTCCACAGTGTGGTATATAGCTCAATACAAAGAATTTTCCAGAACAGTCCAAACAATGCCATTCTTCCCTCCCACTCACATTTCCAGAAGTTTCTCCACATTTCTCCCAGAGCAATGGTCCATCCTTGTGGACCCATAGTCCGTGACCAGCAGGCTTAACTCAGAACATATAGGCCTCTAAAGAAGGGAGGGAGAGGCAAGGTGGGGCTGCAGGAGGCTCCCCAAAATAAACACTCAGATGACTGCAGATCCCAGAATGGGAAGGTTGGACTTCGGTGCTCCAGCAGTACCCATGCCAAACTACAGAGTAGGGTAAGGGAGAGTATGGGGTAGTGGGGTGCTAGGGCCAGGCCAGAGCAGTAGTAGAAGCATCTTAGGTATGAAGTCTGAGTGGTGTCCTTTTGTCTGCAGACAGCTCTGGAGAAGCCCCCAAGAGCAACACTTTCTCTGAAAGGAAAAAGTGAGCACTGAGTGGCTTGGGGCCAGAGGGCTGACTCAGAAACAAGGGCTGCCCCGCCCCTGCCCAGGCAGTTCAATGACTTCACACCCTAAGGAGACAGCAGCCCAGTTTCAGCCCTCCTACCCCTGCCCCACCCCCACATACCTCCTCTCCTAATCCAGACCCTAGGTATCAGGAGAAAAGGCACTTCCCAAAGGCTGTCCCACCTCCAGCCAGGACCCCTCAGTCATACACAAAGCCAGACACAAGAGCCATGAGAAACGCACATGCCATAGAGAACAGTCAGTCAGACACACCAAGATGTGTCCACACCGAGGGCTCGCAGAGGGGAGAGAGAAACAGTAAGAAAGTGGGATCTGTTTACATGTCCAAACACCAGTCACTAGAGTGCAGACTGCTAGACTTCAGAAGCCGTCTCCGTGTACCAGACATGTTACTAGTGTTACTAGGCACTGCACACATGCAGCGTTGCAAGGCTTGCTACTCAGGGAGGGCGAGGCTCCCAGGAAAGATGGAGAAACAGAGGTACAGAAAGGCAAAGGAATCCATTTTCAAATGTGTGGAATCTGTGAAAGCTTTCAGTGAGGACTAATTTACTTTGAAGACAGAGAGAGAGAGAGAGAGAGAGAGAGAGAGAGAGAGAGAGAGAGAGAGAATAAACACACAAAAGGCAGGAATAATCCAAAATAAATATTTAAACTTAAAGCCACAAACACTTCAAAAAGTACAAATGATCTTGCCGTGCCCAAAAATTATCCCTCAGGCCCAAAATGAGCCAGTGAAAACAAACCCTCACACAGAAGATTATAGCCAGAAACAAGTGACCATATGACCACAAAACAGGAATGCCTCCAGCCATGCTCCTGTGCACAAGGGCCCACACGCCACAGGCCACCACACGACACTCAGAGCTCTCAGAGATGCTGGCCAGACAATACATTCCAAACTTCAACACCTGCTCCCCAGGGCCACGGAGCTACAACTCTGGCCTCAGTTTCCACCAAGGCTCTAGGATCTACACAAGCAACCAGCCCTAAGTGACACAGCTGCCTGTTGTGTCTGACAGCCCAGGCTCCCAGGCCTGTGGCCTGAGTGTGCCATCAGCCTACCCTGCACCAGACTGCTAAGGACTAAGGTGGGCCCCGCGTGGCTGCCTCTCTGTCTTGCTTGCCCTTATTTCCCAGAGGACTAAAGTATAGGATAGAGGAGGCTTTCCTCTGGCCCTGTCTCCCTGAGAACAGACTCCCTGTTTACTAGCTCCTTCCAGAGGGGACAAGTACCCAAAACCAAGAGCTGCCATCCAGAGATTTGTGAAGTGCTCTCTGGAGAGTGGGTCTCTTGGGCCGGAGGGCAGGGAGAGTTGCCTTCCCTCCTCTGAGCGTAGGCAGCTTGCAGACCCTCCACACAGGCAACAGAACAGATGCCATTGTACGCCTAAGGCCAGGGTTCCTCTATAGGCTCTAACCCGGCTCCTCTGGGTCTGCTCTGAAGCTCCATCACTCAGCCACAGCAGCCATGAGAGCCAGTAGTGCTGATCGGATCTGAGAACACCCAAAACCATCCCAGAATCCACCCAGGAGTTTGTAAAAGAAGAGCATTCCCCAAGGCAGGCAGGAGCATGCAGGGTGATTCTCAGCACCTGACCTCCTGGCCCCTCCCAGCTCTTCCTTTCCCCTCTTAGCCAGTCCTCGCTCGGCATTGATTTTGAAAATGTCAATATTAAACTTGTTCGGCCATGTAACGTATCTCGCGTGGGCTATTGTTCTCGGCAACGTCCGGAATATCAACTGCCAAGCCACTAAAGAAAATCGAAGAGGTGTAAATTATTTAATTAAACACTGCTTGTGAAACACAAAAGCAAACACATCTTGCTGTCCCCTAGGAGGGGGGCTAGTTGCTCCTGGCTGCCAAGCGCAGGCCACTGGGGTCCCGCCCTCTGAGCTACCACAGCACCTTCACTGAGCGGCCCTCTACCTAACAAGGGCAAAATCAAGGGCAAACAGGCCTGGCCCAGCCCCAGCAGGACTTCAACTGATGGCCCAGTGAGCAAAACCCGACCAGTGGAGCAGGCTTACCCTCCTCCTCTGAGGGACACCCAGGTCAGTGCCTCCAGCCCCCTATGCCAGGACACACACTCTCTGGCTCCCTCTCCCCCACCACAGGCACATTAAGTCCAATTTAGCGGGACCACAAGAAGCCGGAACACAAGGCTGGTTTCAATCCATCAAAGCAGGAAGGGTAAAAGAGAAAGGCAGACACCAGAGGGTAGAAGTGGGATAAAGTGACAGCGAGAAGAGAAGGACCTGGGGGGGCTGGGGGTGGAGAGGGGGATCCAAGGCTTACAAGCTGAGGAGTCACCTTGGAATCCAAGGCCCAGCAGCCAACACAAGCATCTCAAGTAAAGCCCCCTGAAAAAGGAAGGAGGTCATGGCACAGAGAGGTCTGGCACAGAAGAAGGGTCTGGCTGGGAGGGGTCATGGGTCCTGGCCAGGTGACGACAGAATAGAAAGATCAACAATACCAGATATCCAGATTGTCATCGATCCTGGGCAGCAAGCCCCCAGAACCAGTGCAGGCTGGCTGGGTGTCCTCTTCTGTCACAGACTGCATGCTGTCCATCTTTTCGGGAAATGACAAGTCCACGGTGGAATCAGGGCCCCACTCACTTTCCCTGACTATCTGCTCATTCTAGCAGCCACTGGGAGATGGACTCAGCTCAGGGTGCTGTGTTTGGTTGCATGCACCAAGGGGCCCTTGCTCCACCAGGGCAGGAATCCAGATGGACGAGTCATGGTTTTGGAAAGATCTAAGGAAAATCCCCAGCTGACTTGGATGTGGATCCACACACTGGGGCCCCCTCCCAGCAGCACCCTGTGCAGAGGTATGCCAGGCCCCAACAACAGCACCACCATAGGTCAGGACACAGATGGGGCAGGGCAAGCCCATCTGACACACCGAAGAGGAGAAAAGGAGTAGAAGTTAAACCAGTCTTGGCAAAGTGTTTGTTGTTGTTTTTTTGTTTTTTGTTTTTTTTTTTAATTCTGATGCTCTGGACTCTTCCAGGAATTGTTAAGAAGGCAGATCCCAGGGCCCATCTGAAGGATTCTCACTGGGAGGCCAGAGCTGGGGCTGAGCCTCAGCACTGTAAACATGCTATTTGTAGCTCTGGGATCTAAGATTTGGATCTGAATGTGGAACAGAGAGATGCTGCTTGTTGAGACATCAGGACAGACAGCCCAGCCATGGGGAGGATGCGATGCTGGCCTGGCTAGCTCTGAGAAGGCTAGCTCCTTCATAAGGAGGACTCCCGGAGAAGAAAACCTGAGCAGCCAGCAGGTGCGTATGGAAGAGTGGATGATTTATGAAGGGCT